TCAGGTTCAGTGGGATGGTTTTATGTCTCAAACAGTCGCCGAGCCCAAAGCCCATTCGATAACGTCCAGTGCATCCGGGTCATTCGAATCTCAACCTTCTTTCACCAGCGGCACTGCCCTGCAAGCCAATTCGAATCAGCTCCCCCCTATCAGTGGACAGAACTGTAATGGCCTGGTACCAGCTCTACAGTCTATGATCAACTCGTTGCCCAACTCTGCAGCTGCGCCGCCATCTCCATGGTCGTCAGAGTCATCCAAGCCTGGATACAAGGCCCCTGAAGTGATGGGGGATGATGAGCGCAACGCCATCCTTGACAACATTCGCAGTGCCGACAGCGAGCACGCCATCCCTGAGGGTTTCCGCCTGCCAGGCCTAGGTTCCTTGAATCGGTACCTTTCAACATATTTCGGTCTGTTCCATCACCATTTGCCTTTCTTGCACCCTGCCTCATTCCGGCCCACCAAGGTCTCACCCCAGCTTTTGTTGGCCGTTCTCAGCATTGGCGCTCTCTATGCTTTCGACCAGGAACAGGCATACATGCTCCACATTGGCTCCAAGGTTTTAGTCAATCAGTTTCTACAAAGTAAGGAGAACTTTAGCTCCCGAAAGTGTCCCCTGTGGACCATGCAGAGCAACCTCCTTAACATGATCTTTGCCAGCTGGAGCGGTGACCCCAAGGGCCTGGAGTGGACCTGCTCAATCAAGAGTCTGCTCGCCAACATGGTCGCGGGTAACAGGTACGAGCTGAAGCTACGCCAAGAAGCTCGGTCAGGTGCAAAGCCTACTCGTGCCGAGTGGGTAGAAGATGAGGGCTGCCGTCGTACATATTACGCTGTCTACATATTCTTTGGCCTTTTGACACTTACCTACAACCACACACCGGCCATCAGTTTCAGCGAGTTTGAAGATTTACAGCTTCCTTCCACCGAAACGCTATGGAACTTGCAGGTACCAGACGAGGCGGCATGGCAAGAGCATCTGGCAGCTTCCACTACCGTGACCTTTATGGAGGCTCATGACAACCTTTTCCAGGGCGAGACGCTTCGATACAGCACATTCGGCACCCGCGTCATGATCAACGCTTTGTTTCTTGAGGTCTGGTATCACAAGCGCAGTCCCGAGGCACTGCAAGACGTGGTAACAGAGTATAAGTTGCGGCTGGCGCTAGAAACATGGGAGAAATCCGTCGACATGTGTGAGGCCGAGGCCTTTCCTGTGCCGATCAGTGCTCCCCACAAAGGCCATCCTTTAATCTTCAACGCGAAAGCCATGTACCGTAATGCTCGTGCCCGCCTGGAAGTTGACCTGAAGGCGGTCCAGGAAGCGCTTCGCTACCATGAGTCCTATGAGGTTGCTGCTGCGATGACGCATGCCCGGGATCGCGTGAAGCGCTCGAGTGAGATGATCAAGGTTATTGAGGAATGCTACAACTGCCTGGAGACTGTTGTCTCGCAAGGAGTCAGATGGATTGCCCGTGTATCGCCTACCAACTGGAGCGTGGAGCATGCGCTCTGCGGAATGGATCTCATGATCATTCTATCGCTGTGGTTGTATCGTCTGGAACATGATGAGGAACCTGCGACTCAGGAAGAGATGGCTATGTACAATAAGGTCCGACAGCTTCTTGTGAAGGAAATTGATGAGAACTATATGTCTCAGCTGAGCGCGGTTGTCGCACGACTCTGGGGCTCGATACTCGATGAAGTTGTTGTTTGGGGGTATGTATCAACGGTACAAACATCTCTCAGTATCACATTGCTAACACAGTACACAGCATGACACGACTTATGGGCGACGCCTTCAAATTGCATTCACAGGCTCTTGTCGGCTATGTCGATGATCCCGAAGCATCCTCAAATGTCTCGACTCCCTCGATGATCTCGCAGGGAGCAGATGAGGATAGCGTGTACTAAAACTAATTGGCCATGACTGAAATGACTTTTTCCTTTGTTTGCCCTCGGGCCGGTTCGGGCTTTCCTTTTCTCCTAGGCATATACCTCTGCTTGATTATGTTTGGATTTGGTTGTGGGTTAATTCGTTCCTCTCTGACTTGATCGGCGCGAAGGGCTCGGGAGGGAGTTGGACTCGTCCCGTCTCCTATGAGTTTGTTTTTTGCAGTCTCCTTATGGTTATCATTTCACTATCTCCTTGGCGATACCCGAGACAGGGCGGGTCATCGCAATGTCCAATCTACTGCAGTTTCATGGCAAATCTGTTGTTGTTATTGTTGGGCACGTCATGCTTTGTTGTTTTTGTTTACATTTCTCTCTCTCTCTCTCTCTCTCTCTCTCCTTGTTGCATGGTTACAAAGGGTCAAACGGCATTAATTGGGGTCAAGGAAGGGGATCAGGAAACGGTTTTCGCATTGGGCTTGTGCCCCGGACAGAGGGAACTGGATCATTTGCGTAGTGACAGCGCAGGCTAATGACTGCGATGGCAGGACAGTTGGCAGGTCCAAGATGGCTGATGTCGCCTTCTACTTCCCTTGTTCTATATGCTATGGCACCTTTATTGTTTTCGTCTTAATATTTTTGTGTGTTTCTTTCGGGCTGCCGGTTTACAGGCAGTTTTCAACGCTCGGCTCCGTCTTGGTCTGCTTCTTCTCATGGTATGGCATTGCTCTGCTTCGCCTCTTGTTCGATTCTTCTCCTATTTATTTTTCACTTATTTTTTGTCGAATTGTTCAGTTTGGTTTTTCAGATACCTTGTTCGATATACAGATTGTTTCTTTTGCGGCCACATGACGGCAATAGCATGATCTGGCATGTCCTGGGAACTCCTTTTTGGGCCCATGACGCAGCGTCGCATACCGTCAAGAGGAGGCTGGCCCATACTCGTGTATAGATGAATAGTGTTTGCTTTGAATAATCAGCACCTGTCAAAACATCGTTTCTTGGCCTTTCATCAAGCCCGTGACATGCTGACAGTGATCAGCTCCCGATGCTGAAAGGAATTGTCCAGGGAGGCGCAGGCGGACCAAAGGCGGCATCGTCACCAACAAAAAGAAAGGCCTCTCATATGCCCTCCAACCAAAAGTACCACCTATAAGTCATTACCTACAACACCAAAACACCATATTTAATACGAGATGCTCTTTCTCTCACGCATGCATGCATACCTAGGTACCTAGGTAGGTACTTACTTAGGTACCCAAGTTACCCTGCCCTGTCCATGGAAGTTTCCCTCGGGTTTCTGGAGAACGTCCTTCCATGATAGAACCATCTAAGCTGCAAAGCAGGCACCTCCGATGAATTACCTAGGTACCTATTCGAGGCTGTCCAGCTTAAGTACCTTGCCTTACATGAACCTGGGCCTGCGATCTCAACTTGAGACTTACAACTTACATGGTGTCAATGTTGAAATACGCTCGTCACAGCCAAGAGAACCAATTCTGCTAAGAAGACCCAACTACTTCCATTTCCATCATGATCCTCCCTCTTACACATCTTCTTGCCACTGCTCATCTGGTTTCTGGAGCGTGCGAATGCGGTCACTCGATCAAAAACCCCCAAGGCGATAGCCCAATAGTATTCGCTGATCGGCTGGAGACCAAGTTCAGCCAGCTGCACAACATCTCTGAAGGGCACGACTGGGTAGCTCAAAACTTTACAGTATCGGCAGCAGATGGTAGGGGTAAATTCAGCAAAGCATTCCTGCCTAACAATGTCAACACTCATGAAGCAAAGTCTGGGGATGATTCGGGGCTTGAGCTACATGTAAGAAGTGCAGTCAACAAAGACGATGCGATCCCGTCGAGCGAGGTCGATACAACGAGACTTGACCTTCACTGGGGTTCATACCGAGCAGGAATGAAACTGACGGATGTCAAGGGCACCTGTGCCGCTTTCTTCTGGGCGAGTAATAGGATGACAAGAGCGATGAGCGAAACTAACCAACGAACAGTATTTTAACGATACTCAGGAGATCGATATCGAGTTCCTCTCTCAAGAATTTGATCACGATAATGGTATATACCCTATCAATCTGGTTGTCCAGTCCAAGAAATCCTTGGAGGCTGGCTATGATGCCAGCAAAACTGGCAGTTTCAAGCGAGTCAAGCTAGATTTCGACCCGACAGACGCCTTTCACGAGTACCGCTTTGACTATCTTCCAGGACAGGTCCTATTCTACGCTGACGGTAAACTACTCGCCCACATGAAAGGAGCCGACATGCCTTCTTCTGGGGGCCATTTGATTCTTCAGCATTGGAGTAACGGCAATCCGTTATGGTCAGGCGGTCCTCCAAAAGAAGATGCCACCGTCACTGTCAGTTATGTCAAAGCTTACTTCAACTCATCAAACAGTGAATGCCAGTCGCGACTGGTGAGACGATGTAACGAATCGTCAGAAACTTCAGTGTGTGCGATGAATGATTCGGATAATGATGAAATCGATAGTGCAGGTGCTAGCACAAGGAGAGTTGCACAAGGGAACTCTGTCTGCGTCTTGATTGTCGGTCTGGTAATGCCGTTTCTGAGCCATGTTTTCTTGGTGGTGTGAATGGGTACCTGATTATCTGCTACGAGTTTGAGGGCGAGGAGCCGTGATCGGAATCGATGTTTCGTTATGGTTTATGGCGCAGTCGAGAGAATTTGAAGTATTCAATACTGTACCATTATATTTGATCGACCAAAAAATCCGTCGATTTGCACTATCGCGATGTTGGTTGTCAGAAACCTGGAATCAGTGAGTGCTGACGTAGTTGAATCAGAGGTTCAAATCTCCTGTCCCTTACCTCGTGGTAGGTACTTACCCCAGCATTGGATCCATTTCCATTGCCTCTACTAGGTATACCTTGGCCAAGAAACCAACAAAATTAGGCCTAAATCAAGGCAGAAGCCCCTTGTGAGGTGAGGGGTTGTAGATGCATTTTATAAGTAATAGATCTTTCCTTCGATACAATTAACCAGCCTGCTATCGTATCCACGATATCCTTCACTACCTACTTATCTTACCTTTTCCATCATATTATCCTAGTAGTGAGCAACACTTTGCAAATATGCCTACAGAACCCTTCCTAGACATTATCCTCACCAATCATACAGACTCCAAGTCACTCTTTGCACACGTCACAGGTCGGGATGAACAGGGTGTTGTGATTCTTCTCGCGGATGGAGAGACGGTCTATCGGCCAAAGTCGCCGTCTGAGATACTGCAGCCCGTCGGTGCAGACATCGCCATTCCCGTTGGAGGACCAGGAGCTCAAAAGAAAGTACGGATACCACATATCTTTGGAGGGCGAATTTGGTTCTGCAAAGACAAGCCAATCACATTTCTTATCAACCCAGGGCCAGCTGTGGTTGAACCGTCTGTAACGAATCCAACTGATGCCAACTTTGATGCTGATTGGGGATTCTGCGAGTTCACCTACAACAACGATCAGCTGTATGTTAACGTGTCATATGTTGACTTCGTAAGCATTCCGATCGGTCTGGAGCTTGAGAACGAGGCAGGCCAAGTCACGCGTGTTCCGGGCATGCCCAAGGATGGGCTTTATCAGGTCTCCGAGGGTTTGAAGCGCCAGGGCGAGAAGGACGGCGCGGGCTGGGAGAAGCTCGTGGTCAAGTCCAAGTCTGGCTCCAACCTCCGAGTGTTAAGCCCGAACGCCGGTGCAGAGTTACATCCAGGCTTGCTGGAGAATTACTTTGCGCCAGAGATTGACGCGGCGTGGAAGCGCTACGAGAAGGAGGACATCGAAATCAACACGCAGGCAGAATGGGGCGATGTTAGGGGCTGCGTCCGCGATGGCAAACTAGTGTTCAAAGATGTTGGAAAGGACAAACTTAGCTTCCACTTTGAGAAGCCATCTACGAGAGACATTGTGTCTTGCAGCACGGGACCGTTTGCGGGCGGCCCGGATGTGACGCCAGCGCAGCTCAACGTCGGAGCGCGTATTGCGGCGGCTCTGAACCGGACAACGTTATCGGGCAATTCCCGGCAGCCCGAGGGGGAGAGGGTCGAAGAGTATTACTGTAAAGGAGAGGGAAAGACAAATCACTACTCTAGAATCTGCCATGAGGTCACGCTTGAGGGGAAGGGGTATGCGTTTCCGTATGATGATGTTGGTGCATCAGGGGGAGTCGATCAGAGCGGATTCTTGAACGATGGGAGACCAAAGGTCTTGACTGTTCATGTTGGAGGACAGTAAAAGAAGCAGACTGTGAAAATTGAGTTGATGATCAACAGCTGTCATGTCTCGCCAGGTTTATCCTACCTATCGAGAAAACGAACGGGTTCAGTCGAACGAACCACTAAATTAACATGGCACCCTCAGCAGGCTTTATCATGTATGTAAGACATGCGGTTGTGGCTGTTAATAGCATCTGCCACAGCCGCAATCAAGGAATGAAAGGGTTGCATAGTAGACTGATGATCTTGAAATGTGACGTTGAGGGCCTCAAGTTTTATTTCCAAGGTACAACAGGGTGACCATTGATTGAGTCTTGCTCCTGTCACTCGGAGAGTATGTGAATTAGGTCATGCCTTAGTTAGGCTTATTGTCAATACCAGAAATAGATATTTCATAGCGTTTCCCTCTTATAGGGTACACAGATATACAGGTCACCTATGAATCTCAAATTGGGGGGCAAGACTACCTTCATTGGTAATATGTAACAAAGTCACTGAACTGCACACCGAGACAACCTGGAAGAGGAGGAGCACAGCCATGCCCGCGCCTGCCCACCCAATCTGCAGCTAACAAGTTGCATCACGTCCAATCCAATCCAAAGGAAGGAAGGAAGAGATCCAATCATTCCGCATACAACCCTTATTCCTCCTTCCGTGGTTGCATATGCGCATGGATCCTTACCTTATGGCTCGACCTACCTTGCTCCCTACCAAAGATACTTTTCCCTCTCACATCTAAATTAATCTTTGGCCATAGATCCTTGTTTCTTCAATTCCGTTCCTTTGGTCCCGCCCCGAGATAATTATTCTGCTCTTCTCGTTTCTGATATCGACTCCCGTCTTTACGGAGTGATGACTTACGATTTACGAATTACGATAATCCAGACCAGGGCAATTCACAGATATTGACGTACTTCGGGGACAATCCATCATAGGTATCACACAAACACTCCGCACTTCCCGGGTCCCTAGCCGCCTCTGTCGATCCCCGCCAACAGTTACCGTCACCCCTTGGAACCTATCTTAAGCCAAGAGCTTCTTGGACGACCTCCTCCATACACACGGTCTTTTCGACCTTGCTGTGATAGCTCTCTCACTAATAGGTGCCCATCATGTCATGACTGCCATAGCGTCATCCCTTTTTGACCTCACATTCTCTTATCTTGACTTGACAAGTCTGGGATTCTGATCACGAGGCCGTGCGCCTTGCCTCTTTTATACAAGCCATCATGGTATATTGCGGGAAGCCCTCTGGTGGCTGCTCCACCTGCCGCCGTCGCAAGATTCGGGTGAGTTGGTCCATCACCGCAATCCATATGAGTTCTGGCAAATATCCATGGCCTCCCGGTCGCCGTCATCTCAGCCTGTTTCCCAGTGCTCTTACTGACATGTGAATATCAAAATCAAGTGTGACCAAAAGGAGCCGGCATGCACGCAATGCGAGAAGAAGAACCAGCCATGCCCTGGCTATCGCAATCTCGTCGATCTAATGTTTAGAGATGAAAGCTCCCATGTTATCAAGAAAGCGGTCAAGACACGGGCTCGATCTAGTCAAGCACAAAAGAGTCCCGTTAACCAGGAGCTCGCCTCGGCCTCAACATCTCCCCCACCATCGGTTGTGACTATCAAGTCACCACCAACATTCGATATTGACCCGAGATCTAGTGCAGCCCCTGCCCCTGCCACCAAGACAGAGAAATCGAACAAGGTCAAGGCCAGACGTGCTCGGAAATCTAACACTCGATGCCGCGCGCCTGTTCTTTCCGCCTTGATTAACGACTGGAGCCGGTCTCCATCGGAAACCTCTCATGAAAGCCCGAGTGACGCCAGCGATGTCATTGGTCTAAGTGAACCAACTGAAGGCCGCGATCACTTGGATGACGCTCTGTCACCCGAACTACAAGACAAGGGCACTGCCTTTTTCTTCTCTCGTTACGTTGCAGCCGACAGAGGCTCTTATCAAAACTATGCTTTCATTTACGATGTATGGAAACCTCCGGACTCGGCACAGGCTCAAGTTGATCCAGTCACTGTCAGTATGACAGCTGTCGGACTTGCAGGATGCTCACAGGTTTTCCGATCCCCAGATCTTATGACACGGGCACAAGAAAGCTATGCTATCGCCCTCGGATTGACGCACCGTGCACTTCGCGACCCAATCGAAGTCGTAAAAGACACAACCATGCTCGCCGTCTTGATACTCGGCACTTTCGAGTTTGTTTCGGGATATAGCTCTCATACGATGCGTGCCTGGCAAGACCACGTCAACGGAGCTGCTGCCCTGGCAAACATCAGAGGTGCTGCCCAGTTTCGAAGCAAAGCTGGTGCTCGCATGTTTCTTATGCTTTGCCATACAGTTCTTATAAGCTGCATACAGAGCGGCCTACCTATGCCACAAACACTAATAGACCTTCGACACGAGATTCCTCCTTCTGAAGAACTCGGAGGACCTGACTTTCATGTGGCATACCCCATATACAAAGCACTACAGGTGCGCTACGATATCAACACGAGAAAACTAGTCGACCTTGATGATGCTGTCGCCGCCATATCAAATGTTGAGGAGGAATTCTCATCGATACTGTCCGGACTGCCAGAATCTTGGAAGTACCATCGCGTACAGCTGACGCAACCGGACCCTCGAGTATCAGGACAAATATGCCACGTTTATGCTGGACTTCTTCAATCCACCACTTGGAATATGGTGCGCGGAATAAGGATGATGCTGCTGGAAACGCTCGTCGAGCAGCTTTGCGCTGCTGCGGGTTCGACTGACCGCACTGTACTATCAGACAATCATTTCCAGTTACTTGCCAAATCTCTTAAAGTGTTGGATATGCTAGGACAATCAATTGCAGCCAGTGTTCCCCAGCATCTCGGAGTTGTCAGTATCCGGGACATCAACAACAAGAAGGACCAAGGGCACATGGTTTCGATTGCAGCCAAGAAACAAGCATGCCGTGTTATATCGTCGCCATTTGCGCAAGACTCACGAGTCGGCCCGGGAGAGGATACCTCCAGCAGCGGTGGTAGTCCGGTGCTATTTGATCCAACGCAGTCGACGCCTCACACCGACGATGCCACTCGTTTCATGAGCCTTGCGTCGGCAAATAATACTATCATCTGGCCATTGTACATGCTCGGTATGTCATCGGCATGTTCCTCAGAAACAAAGCAATATGCCATCGAGGGCCTGCAAGCTATCCACAGAGAAACTGGTCTGGAGCAAGCGCGTGTGGTTGCGGGACTATTACAGGAGAAGGATAACCCCCTAACTCTCAGCCCATCACTTCTTAGTAAGCTTCCCACGGTTGACGCAAACGCTTTACCGTCAACAGTCTAATCCATCTGCACGCCCACCCGACTTGAGTGTGCGATATTTGGATTCACTTCCCATTACTTTTCACCATTCGATCGGTCATCAAATTGAGACATATGGCGACAAGTTGTATGTCATGGTTGTAATACCAACGGGCTTTTCCCAATTCTTAGCATGATTTTTGTTGGATGAGACGAGATGTAGAGTGCACATACCCAGCACCTTTTGGATGGATTACCGACGCATTGCAGCCTAGCACGGACAAAATGCTTCCCGTTGCCTAATTTACCAACTGTCAAAGTTTCCAAAACCACCCCCCTTGATCTTCTTACGTGCTGGTTCCTCCCACGTGTCGACGTCCTCAATATCAGCCTCGTTGGTCGTCGTTGTTGTGTTCTGCTGAGTTGCGGTCTTTAGGTATTTGCCAACGCTCTCACCGGCTCCTGTGCTCTCGACAGTGCCGTCATTCCGTATTCGTTTGCCGGTCCATGTTGTCTTGTCATCGTCTGTGCCACCTTGTAACCGAATCTTCTCCTGTTCCTTGGTATGACGCTCGTTTTCCTGTTTCTGTTTCTGAAACTCGGCGAAAGGATCGTGAAAGATAACGATGTCTTTGATAACAATCTTGTTGAGGGGTCGGTTAGACCCATCAGTAGGTACATCCTCCATCTTGGAAAGAACATTGAGATTCTCGACAACCTTTCCAAAGACTGTGTGCTTGCGGTCAAGGTGTGGCGTGGGCTTGTACGCAATAAAGAACTGACTTGAGTTTGTATTCTTGCCCTTGTTGGCCATAGAGACTAGTGACAAGAGGTTAGCGAGGACTATATCGTACTTATGAAAGGGTCACTAACTCGTTCCACGGGCATTGTGTGACATTGGACCATCGAACTCATCATCGAAATACTTTCCCCATATGCTCTGCCCGCCTCGGCCCGTGCCTGATGGATCACCGCCCTGAATCATAAAGTTTGGAATGTTTCGATGAAAGGCTACACCCTTGTAGTAGCCAGTCTGTGCTAACCTGATGAAATTCCACACAGCCTTGGGTGCAAACTCAGGATACAGCTCGATTGTTATGTCGCCCAGATTTGTTTCTATTCTGGCATACCCGGTTGTCTTGACTCGCTTGGGCTTTAGCATATACTCCTCATCCGTCAGCAGAGCTCTCTCGCCGCTCGTCTCAGGTGTCAGTCCGGTGCTGGTGAAACTAGCTGCGGCTTTGCCCGTGGTGTACGCTGCCGAGTTAGCAGCCAGGTTCTTGTCCTTGATCATAGAGTGGCGGACAACATTATTGGCAGCAGCAGGCTTGGTGAGGGCAGTCGAGCTGCGGTTGATATCACCGCCTTGCTCACGAGCCTTGCGCGCCTTCTCCACAGCGGCTTTCGCACGTGAAACCTTGTCGCCCATGCTTCCTAATGCACTGGAGTTGATATTGCCAGAATTGCGCTCATCCTCCTGTTCCTTGGTCAATTGCGCCTGCTCGCCATCCTTCAGATACTTGAACTGATCCAGGTTGCGACTGGCCGCATTCTGGGGATCCTGGAGTGTAATTAGGTCGGCGCGAGTAAACTCTTCATCATCGACGAGGTCGCGCCAGGATTTGGCCTTGATATTCATACGCTCGACCGTATCCCAGGCGAAGACATTGGCGTAGTTCCCATGACGAATGGCAACAATATGTGTGTTGTCGGTGAAGACTTTGTAGGTGACGGGATCGATCAAGTCGCCTTTTCCGTCGCTCAAGCCCGCGCCAAGAGAGTCTGATTCTGAATTCCGAGCAAAGTTAAGACGTATCAGATCCTTTTTTTGCAGAGGCTCGCCAGTGACGGGGTTCTGGTTGGGGTGCTTGTCAAGCCAGGCGCCGATGACCTCAACGTCGAAGATTGTTCCATCGGGGGTGCAGACAGGGTTCTTGAAGGGTTGGAGACTAGCTGCGCAAAAGTTAAAGGGAAGACGGCGAAATGATGCGCTGGCGTTTTGATTGCGAGAAGACGCGCCTGCGCCAACACTTGGTGAGAAGGCATCGGCTGAGGACCACTCTGAGTGTGTAATCTGGAGTCATTGAGTCACTGGAATATGGTTTTGGTTAGACGGGGAGACCTACATAGAGCTTGTCTGTTCCTTTACCCATTGTTGCGCTGATTCAACGTAAACTCGGGGGAGAAAAAAAGAAGCTATGATGATGAAGATGGAATTTATTTCACAGTCGCATTCATGGACTAACTAATAGGTACGTTAAGACTTAACTTAAGGTACATATGATGCGCCGCCACGCTAGGCTGTAGGCACCTTAGCATCTAAGATGGTGCCTGAGACGAGCTGGGGCTTATCGCTATCGTGGACCATTGAGTCAATGGGAAAACAGGGGCCCTTGGCTTCTCCTGCCGCTGGTGCTGACCTGGCATCACCGGCGGCCAATTACGTATACACGTTGGCTACTCCCTTGAATCTGTAACTAACTCGTCACTTATTAATTAACTCGAGGCATCTTCTTTCAAACCTCGATCTAACTACTGAATCGAATTTGATTCATCAATTACTGTATCGTCCAACAACTCTGCAAAATATTGATCATCCTCGAGTCGATAAGGACGACGCCAGAAAGGACTCTCGACAGGCTCGATATGCTCCATAAATTCAGAAGCTCCCGCGCCACCACTTAAACGTTGCTCAAGCTCCCTTTGGTCTCGCACGTTCGTTCTCTCGTCTTGAACTTCGGCCTTCTTGAATTCAACGCCGTCTCCACGTATCTCGCCGTAACACACCGAAGCTCCCGCCGCGACCACCGACGTAATAATCATGAGGTTCCTAACGGGACTGCTCGTGTTGGGCATGTCCCTTTGGACAACCCAAGCTTATGAGATTGGACTGGTACGGGCGGCCTCCGTTCGGATCGCAATCATGCTAACGTCTCTGTCATCTAGAGCGAGAAGGAAGGCTATCAAGAATACTGCACCGGTAGGTCATGCCTCCAACGTGCAATGCGACTCTTGGATCTAACATGTTCCAGGCATGTACAGCAAGACCTCATGGGGTGGACCCGTTGACCCATTCATCCTCGTCAAGTTCCTCAACACCAGCAACTCCGATGTAAAGGATCCAATTGCGAGTCTGGTGATATTCGAGTGGAAGGACCGAAACCTCGTTGGAATCCCCGATCCGAATACTCCCGGCAACGTAAGTGCTCGCGATGCCATATACATGCCACACACGCACTCTTCTGACACATGATAGCGACTTGGCGTCTGCGGTGACGATTTCGTCAAGCAAGGTTACTGTAACAAGACCGATATTGGCAAATTCATCCTGCATCCCGACGTCGACAAGAAGTCTTCGAGCGTGGTCCTCACAAAGGCTGTCCACCTCAACAATGCGGCTCCAATCAATTATGCTATCAAGAAGACTGGTTACTACTGCGTTCTTACAGATGTGGTAAACACAAACAAGTACGACCTAGTAGTCGAATATCGCAACGCTTACGGCGAACTGGAGGCGACACAGATCCCCAAGTTGCCCTTCTATGGTGGCATGAGTATCTTGTATGCTCTGCTTGCTGCCTACTGGGGTTTCTTGTACTATCAGCACAGGCATGATATCTGTAAGCAGAAACCTCGTATACGCCGCTTCAACCAATTGCATGCATACTGACTTTACTCAGTGGCTGTGCAGAACTACATCACGGCCATTCTCGTTTTCCTAGTGGTGGAAATGCTCATAACATGGGGGTTCTATGGTTTGTCTCTCCCTTGCTTTACTTTACCCGCCCTAACTCGAGTATAGAATACCAGAACCGCCATGGCTCCAATGTTGGCGCAAAGGTATTCCTTACCATTGTTGGAATTCTTAACGCTGGCCGAAACTCGTTCTCGTTCTTCTTGCTGCTCATTGTCTGTATGGGCTATGGTGTTGTGAAGCACACCCTCGGTAGGGCCATGATCAGGGTGCGATGGCTTGCAGCGGCTCACTTCCTGTTCGGACTGGTTTACTCACTGACTTTCCTCTCCATCACCCCTGAGACAGCTGGTAAGATCTCTATGATGAACTGTTTCATTGGCCGTGTCTGACTGAATACAGGCCCATTTGTGCTTCTCATCGTCCTACCTCTGGCGGGTACATTGACTGCCTTCTATGTCTGGACACTCAACTCACTCAACTGGACACTCAAGGATCTCCGCGAGCGAAAGCAGCACGCGAAGGAAGCCATGTACCGAAAGCTCTGGTGGGCCATCCTCATCAGTGTCATGGTCATCTTTGGTTTCTTCTTCTTCAACAGCTTCACCTTTGCCTCAGCCAGCGATCCCGACTTTGTTCCTTTCCACTGGAAGACACGATGGTTCATCCTCGATGGCTGGCTGAACGTTGTCTACTTTGCTGACGTCGCATGGATCGCCTACCTTTGGCGTCCTACTTCCAACAACCGCCGCTTTGCCATGAGTGATGAGATTGCTCAAGATGACGATGGCAACTTTGACCTTGGCGATATCGGTGTTCCAGGAGAAGACTCGGATGACGAGGACGTCGAAGTGGGCAAGACTCGCAACGACTCGAGTAACGCCAATGGCCTCTCCTTCTCAAGCGCGTCACAGAGCAGCGCTCAACCACCCAGAAACAACACTCGGACCGCTCCTCGTGAGTCACTAGAGAATGAGACCATTTTTGCTATAGGCGAGGATGGCGACAAATTTTCGGACGATGGAAGTGACGAGGAGGACGCAAAGCTTGTGAAAACGAAGTAAGAGGAGGATAGGATGGCAATGGACTTACGCTGAATCTGCATGCGATCAAAGTTTGGCGCATCCTTTTTGTGTAATCGTAGGGTTGTCGGAGGGATCAAATCTTACTGATGAATGAACTGAACTGAGTTTTCGATTAAGCAACGTTTCCTTACGTGGGCAGTGAGTGATGCGTGTAGTATATGGGCTTTTGGGTTTGGTTGGGATAGATCAGAGTTGTTGTATAAGGATACAATGGCTTGATCAATTTACATACTGTTACAAAATCGTTCAGGCTTTCTTCTCCTA